AATCCATTTATGCCTCTCTGGTCTCCCGCGGGACCCCGCGTTGACGGACGCATCCAGTCATGTCGGAATAAACGCGCCCCGTTCCGCTGAACCCGCCTGCATTTCCCCGGTGTCGACTTCCGTTAATTTAAGCTGCTCGGCTTGTGCTTCTCAAGCTGCTGCGTTTTTCTGGCTTGCTCGTTGTGGAATGAAAATTCCCTTCGAGATTCTCGTACACGCGATCAAGCACGACAAGCACCAAATTTTTCTCGTTTTTTTTTTTAAAGCATAAAAAGCACATGCTGGGCGAAAAAATCGTGCAATATTTCGGCAAGCACAGGTGCAAGATTCATGAGGTGAAAAATGCATGAAGATAAATGCCATGGAATATGAAGAATCTTATAGGAAGCATAGGGCCTACAAAAATTACGGGAACGTACACTTGACTCAAAATTGAGGCGCAACCCGTTACGTTTTAAGACACGCGTAAGTTCCGCTAAACTTTGTCATGGAAATCGATCATACAACAGAGAGTAATCGCAATGAAACCCTATTATAAAAAAAGGGATCAGCTATAGTAAAAAAAATCTCTGAATTGAACTGCTTGAAAATTAAGACAAAATTCATGAACGCGCCCAAAATAATGGAGGGAACTGCGCCAACTACTAAAACCCATAATTTGATCCTTTAGGTTTAGGAGTACAATTAAAATAAATCTTCGTTAAATCTTGAACGGATTTGCGGAAAATTACATTCAAGGTTTACGTGCTGGTACTCAAGGTTAGTTTCAACAATTCAACGTTTCCGTGATATGACGAAGAATCGTCTCAAATAGAGTTTCAAAAAGCTGTTATCTGCACTCGTATATCCTTCCACTCAACCCTTTTGTTTCGAAACGGCACCCGAAGAATCAGATTTGCGCTACTTGAATTTTCGCGGCTGGATTTCAAGCGAAGGCATTGTTTTCATTGCATTCACGAAAAACAAACTGAAGTCATAAAAAAGAACGATTTCAATTGACGACTGGAACTCAATAGATTGTACATACTCTGGCAGCAGCAAATGAATCATGTGCCAGTCAACGTGATGAACTAGCGGATTCGGATAATTTCGTAATGCAATATTTTAGTTCGTAATTCGTTCAATGCAAATAAGTTGAGGAAGAGAATGAACCAGGCGGCAAAAAATTGAATCACATCGGCCACCCGCGGAGGCGATGCAAATTTGTCTCACTTTTAGCGCGATTGAATCAACTGCGGAAGTGGGGGGGAAGGGGAAGAGGTCGACCTCCCCGGGCCCACGTTTTGTTGGTCCCCCACTCAATATGATGCGCCGTTGCGCGGGTGCGGGTCCACGGTTGATTAAATGTCACATGCGTGGGGGCTCTCGCGGGTGCGATTAATTTCCAATCGAGCCCCCGAGACCTCGCCGCGAGGATGACCCGACCCATCTGGTCCCGGTGTAGTGTCACCGAGCCCGACCCTGGGCTTGCTCATTCGCCCCCCCCCCCTTCCTTTGGGGCACTTTACCGCGTGCCTCCGGTCGCGCTATTCTATGCCAATTTGTCGCGTCTGCCAAATGCGTCTCCCCGTCCGAGTGCTCTCGCTTCCGCAACTTGTCATTTTTGGCAAATGGACGGGTTTGCAAAAAAGGGACGGGCCTTTCTATTGCTTATGCGAATCAGAACAATAAATTCATGCGCTTCAACAAATCGGAACAATGATCATTGCTGCTCAATGAGTAAATCATTGAGCCGCGGACTAAACACCGGGCCGATGTCAAACTTGATTATATCATGCCATTTCTCGCACGAAAAATATCACGAATCTTTTGCACGCATGCATCCAACGTCAAAACCTTCGCAAAGCAGAGAATGCAGATTGATCAACTCGAGACGAAAAAAAGAACCCACAAAAAAAAAAATTGACCGAGAACGAAGCCATAATTCAAATTAAAAACAAAATTCAGTCAGAAATCTATTGTAAATAATTATCGGTGAGTACTGTCAATTTTATTCGCAAAAAATATGTGTAGAATTATGTTCTACCCGTCCTGTTTCGGATTTCTGAACGTCAAGGAGGCCAAATCTCACCTAACTTGTCCTATGAGCGAAGGTGGCTGACCTGATACAACCAGAACTTATAGCATGCACCAAGCCCTTCTAAATTGTATTTAAATTCAGGTGGCACTTTTGCAGTAGGAAGTGAAGGATTGTCTTGGGTTTATTTACGCTGGGGTGCAAGTCATGTAAAAATCAGGATTGGTTTGTAGGATGAATGTTCATATAGAAGACCAAGGGAAATAGTTACGTTCCCCAAAAAGATCTTTTACTGTGCAGGAAGTAAAATGCGGCACTGTCGCGTTCTGCAGAGACGCTCCTCCGTTATTCTGATGCTCTTGTTGCCACGCTGTCGACTTGACGACCCTCGACGTGCCCCAGAGTGGGCAGCACTCGGATGCGGCCCCTGCGCACCCACAGACAATTCGGGGTGAAGATTAGGGGCACGGACGGGTCGAGCCGTGATTGTTTGATGGGCAGGCTGTGACCCGTTCCCGGGGCAGGCGGAACTGGATTACCGGGCAGTGCACAAAGCACTCCGGGACGCGCTGGACCGTGCAGATGGCATTTCCGGTCGGGCTTTTGTGCGTTTCCGCACCGCAGGCTAGCGTCGAGTCGAGTCAAAGGAGGTGATCTCGTCATTGCGAGAAACCTCGTAATCGGGTTAACTCGAGGCGCTCCGGCTCCCGACGTTGCTCTTCCGGGGGACACCGCGCGACGGGTTCCGAAGCGACCCCATTCGCATTCCCCGACACCGGCTCCCCGATCCCACCGAATGAACCCGCGCTATATACCTGCACATCCGAACCAACCCGGACTCGTGTCTTTCGAAAACATTTTCGCACTCTTCCGCTTCAATAGACGAAAGTGCGCTTTGATATTATGCATGTCAACTAGCATTTGCACAGAACACCAGCAACCATATACATTACTGTAAGCATTTAAAAAAAAAGATTTATCCCGTGTTTCTCCAAAACCCCCAAGCTGCCGTCCGAAATAGATCTGTAACATTTTTTTAAATACTTCTCGCGCATTTTCAGAAACTGATAATTTTTTGAAATCCCTAGGTTCCCAGCTGAGATGAGCAACTACAGAGTATACCTGTAAATGATAAATGTTCACAAAGCGAGGAAAAAAAACGGGCTCCTGCACGCCCAACTACTCTATAAGTGGTTTAAAAATGAAACATCTTTTTTTAAAGCAAAAAGCGCTTAAGAATAGGAAGACCCAACAGAACATTCTTGTATCACCAGGAAAATTGTCCATGGTTACGATGAATGAAGCAGGTCTGAGTCCTCGTTTGATTTAAATGCTCTGTAAATCTAATCCTCGGGATTTTCATGCAATGGGAAATGCTTAGCTATTATGTCACTGCTCCTTTGATTTCTTGTAGACTTATAAAAATTAACGCTCCTCCCATTTGTTGGATTTTCCCTAGCAATGACAGATGCGCGTTATCCTCTGAGGATTGAAACAATGCCCTCTCTGTCGGCAATTATTGGGTGAATTGTGTCACTGGAACAATGAACGCATTGTTCAGTTCGATGTAATGTCAGCTATCGGTTCAGTTAACTCAAGAACTGGAGCGAATCGCTGTGATTCTACACCAGCCTTTTTTTTTTACCAGACGAACGCAGAAATCCTGCTCAAAAAGTTTGGGATAATCATAAAAAAATAATGTTGCCCGTATCGTTTACTTGATGATGAGTATACATGTCAACATCGTTTGTTTGCATGTTGAAAGGGGGGGGGGGGGGCATTCCTGAAATCAAACTCTCTGCCCGCTAATTTCAGAATGAGATTCACAACTCGGGCACGAGGAACTCATTTGAAATCTCACGAGGGCTTTCCCAGTACGTCGTATCTATCGGAACATGACTATGTAAGGGACTCGTGTCCTCGCAGACGACACCAGGGTTCCCAGCTGTCGTGAATCTCCGAATGGCCATAAAGGGGACCGAACTCGCAACTTCGCCTTGCCAGCTTTGTTGAACTTGTTTCATGCTCTCAACTTGATATACCGTCGACAGGGAAATCAATTTTATTGCCAGTCTACGGAGGATTGACGAACTTTTTTTATACATTATGTGCGGAACTGGCTCGCCAAGAAAACGTCCTTATTTTGATTCATGTTTCATTGAAAACAGATATCACGGTCGTCTGATGCAGCATAAAAGTCTGGTATTTCAATATGTGTTTTTTCAGGCGCAAAAAAGTGCCAATTCAATTGAAAACGTTTAACCGACAATAATGATACTCGAGAGTGCAATTTTATCCTTCATGCAAGTATTTCGTCCTCGAGGATGTGTTCATCAATACATTTTCTTTTAAAGTTGTATGACGAATGCCAACAATTTTTAACGCAAAAATAATTGCAGCATCTGTTGCAGAGGAACCTGAAGTAAAGTGTTTCCGATGTATTGCATTTGCTTGGAATTTTAAATTGCGCAGCCATTTTCAGACATAATCTACTTGTACCACTTCAACCTCTCTAAGTCAAATTTCTAGGGACCATGAAAAAAATCCGACTTAGGGAGGTTTCGACTTAAGAAGGTTTTTATTTTTTGAGGCTTTTGGCTGAGAAAACAATCACTTTTGTTGTGAGAAGATAAAAAAAAGTGGGAAATCATATATGAGGATATTCTGGGGTACACCTTGCTGAACTTGGAGGCAGGGGTTCATTTGCCAATTCCTTTCAAGAGCATCAAATTATTTTTTAAAATCATTTTATTCTTCATATTTCAAGAAAATAATGACAAGAAGGCCTCAGAAAATTCGACTTACAGAGGTTTTATAAAAAAGACTTTGAGTTAGGGAGGTTTTTAATGTATTGATACTCAGGGAATTCAGACAGGGACTTGAAAAAAAATTGACTTAGGGAGGAATTCGACTTAGGGAGGTTTGACTTATCGAGGTTCACCTGTATTACAATATTTTATGTATCTGCGTGGCTCATCATAGCATGCTGCTGAAATGTGCGCAGGAATAAATACGCAAATGCCTCTTGTGTTCCGGATTTGAGTTCAGGGAACAGCAGTTCGATAGAAATTAATTGAACAAGTTCCTATAGTCAAAAAAATGCTGAAAATTATCTTCCCGAGATGATGAAATTCGTTTTCCTCAGGCAATTCTCGATCATGCGAATCGCCGCTTTCTCCGGGCTCGGAAGCATCGCCGCCAACGTCCCTCGGAATCTCCATCCCGCACTTTGCTCCATTCCTCGGCTCGTCCGCACACACCGTTGTGCACGCAGCCAAAACGCCGCCACCGCCGCCATTCCGTTCCTCGTTAACAGCGACGGCAACCGCGTCGCCGGGAAGTGGATCCGGCGGCGGCGGAGGCAAACGGCCGTCGCCTGGCCTGAGCTGCGTCGTCTGCGGCGACACTAGTTCGGGAAAGCATTACGGGATCCTGGCCTGCAACGGATGCAGTGGTTTCTTCAAACGCAGCGTCCGGCGGAAGCTGATTTACAGGTGCCAGGCGGGGACCGGAACCTGCGTCGTGGATAAGGCCCACCGTAATCAATGCCAGGCGTGTCGGTTGAAAAAGTGTCTCAACATGGGGATGAACAAAGATGGTGAGTCTCCGAATGCTGGGAATTCAGTCCTGAAGCGTATTTATCCTTGAACTTACGCATTAAGTACTTTTTTGCGTGACTTATTGACGCTTGAGTGTGACCCTGAGGTCACTTATAGCAAAGCAGCGCGTTCCGAAAACAGCAACACTACAGAACACAAATTGCGAAATACCGCTCCTTGCGTATTTACTTTGGATATATTAGCTTTTTCGTCTCTATACAAGTTTTAATGATAATAATGGTCAATCAAGTACATTGCGCCCTTGACGTTCGAGCTGTGCATTTGGGTAGAGTAAAACCTTATCCCCTTGAAAAATACAAACCCAAGTTTACAGCGAAGAAATTCTTAAATTTGTTGAATTACAGCAGTTAAAATTACTAATTTAGATTCTTAGAATATAAAAAAAATATTCATCTTTCCTTTGCTTTTGTTCATTTAATTTATTTAAAAAATCTCAGATCTGATTCAATGAAGCGCATTAAAATTTTAAAACTATCGGAAAAAGCTTTTCACTTGCATGAGTGCACGGTACTATTTGGTGCTAGTTTTCAGAAGAAAGATGGGCTGGGTACTTGAGTGAATAAGGTGCGAGAGTTGTTTCCTATATACCGTCCTCAATCGATATTTAATGCTGTGACACTGCAGAATAAAGTTCCCAAAAGTTATGGCTGTTCTTTTATGGCAAAGTTTTTGGCGGTTCCCACTCTCACGATTGGTGTTCATACCCCTCGAATGCAGCCGTGCAAAATGAGCGACAGCCTCGAAACACGGCGACGATCCGACCAGAGACTCTGGCGGAGATGCCGGCGGAGCGGGCGGTGCGAGAGGCGGCAGTGGCGGTCGGGGTGTTCAGCCCGCCACCGGCGCCGTTCAACGTGGGCCTCGCTGCTGCTGCCGCCTTCAGCGCCCACCGGTTCTTCCCGGGGACGATCCTGCCGCCGCAGCCGGGCCACGTGCCGGGCCGCATGGACTACTCTGCATTCGCGGCCCCGCAACCCACTGTTGCCCACCCGCACCCGCAGACGATCCCGCATCATCAGCTCACTCTGGCTGGCCAGTCTCCGTCAGGCTCCATGTACAGCGAAGAAAATGATCGAACTCACCAGAAAATGGAGTCGGAAGAATCGAAATCCCAGTTGAACTCGCACAATGCTGCTTCCATCTCAGGTGGGCCGATTTCTCTGATCTCTGCTTGCGCGGAGACCTTTTAATTTTTACTTTTCAGATGAAATACCGACAGCAGCTATTTTTACTTACATTCTTTTGGTTTCTAAAATCTTTTCAGTTTTCCTTTCAGGGACTGGGGACGAAGACGGAGACAAGAAACCCCAGGGCTCTGCAGTCACCGGACAAAGCTCGGCCGGGCTCCTCTTGACGGAACACCAGCAGAACTGCCTTCCGTTTGACAATTCTCGGCAAAGTCCTCGCTTGCCAACGTACACGCCTACCCAAGAGACTATACACGAAACCGCAGCGAGGCTCCTGTTCATGGCCATCAAGTGGGCCAAAAATTTGCCATCGTTCGTCACCTTGCCATTTCGCGACCAGGTTTGTTTGCCCGGAAACTGCGCCATATCGTCATGTCATACCGATTACCATGTATACAGGTGGACTCTCTCTCTACAACGAAATTCAAGAGACCAGTAAAAATGTTTGTTGTGGAGAACCTGTGTAACTTGAAAAAAAAGAAAGCCTATGGAACCAAACGCAAAATTCGTTTATAAAAAAATTCGTTGTAGGTAAGAAAGTAGTAGAGAGAGAGAAAGTCAACGAGTTGTATCATGCCAGTTTTCGAGGGAAAATTCAGGTTTATCAAAACATAGAAAACTTGCAAAAGACACTAATAACCCTGCAGCAATTGGCGCATAATCGGGTCGGTGTTTCGTTCGTGCGCGACTTTGGCGGAAATTTTTCACCGATTCGCTTAATGAGTTGCCCTTCATTCAATACTTATTTTCAAGTACAGTATTCTGCATACAATAGTATTAAGAAGAATCGCAGCAATTGATCTTGATTGAGTTTTTAGTCACGCATACCTTGTATAGGAAACCATAAAAATTATCACTCAGAAGCCACCCTCAGAAGAACATGGACAAATTAACTGATGCTTTTTTATTTTGTCTTTTTTGTTTGCAAACTCAGGTGTAAAATTAGTTTTGAATATGAAAGATTAAACAAGATAAGCAACATATGCTAGAAATGATCATGCATACAGATTCTGAAGTAAATCTAGCTTCCCGTTTGATATCTAGGCTGAATATACAAAAACATTTAAACGTGCTTAATAATTTACTCAGCGCGGAAAACAGGAAACCATAGTATGTTTTTTCAGTGTTTAACCCATCAATGCAATGTAATTAAAACCGAATTAACACAGCACGTGATCAACACAGGTGATTCTGCTTGAGGAAACCTGGTCTGAGCTGTTTTTGATATGCGCGGTTCAGTGGTCGTTGCCCGTGGAGTCAGGGCCGTTTTTCTCTGTAGCCGAGCACACTGCAGGGATGCCTGCTGCGAAAGTGCCACAGGTTTGACTGGATTCTTGCGCATCGAAAGCATCATTTTTCGCTAATTGAAGTCGTCATTATTGCGTCGTTTGCAGATCGCAGCTGACGTTCGTTATCTACATGACCTGTGCTTGAAATTCCGTAACTTGGGCGTCGACCCGGTTGAATTTGCTTGTCTCAAGGCCATCATCTTGTTCAGATCAGGTGAGGGAGTCTGTTTCATTCCCCTCAAAATCCAGGGGATATCGAATTACTGTGGCAGTAAAACAGAGACAGATGTCATGCTTCTTCTCAAAATGTCAAATTCGGTGAAATCTCATTTAAAGACATTTTTTAGCCATCAGACACACCTTTTAACAAGTCCCAGCAAAAAATCCATAGATGAGCACATGTTAAAACAATCTTACAGTATTTTAACAAGCTTCCCAAGTCCAGTATAACAAACATTTTTGAGGAATGTTTCAAATGCTAGTGTTCGGGTAGAAATTTCATGACTTGGACAGGCACAATCTGAAATTTCCAATTCCAAATGTGACTGACTGGTTCTTGTAGCATGAATGTAATCAATGAAAAACACGCTTCCAAGTGGTTCAACACATCATCGTCAGAGAATGAATAGATTTTTAAATCATCCTCCCAGAATAAATGAAGAGATTCGTGCAACTGATGGAATGCTTGATCAAATCTAATTTTTTTTAGAAGATAACTCAGTTTTTCAAGCGATAATACAAAATCTAAGACTGACAGAAAAGAAAGTTCCCCAAAAGTTTGTCGCGATGCTCAATTGAAATACTGTATGTCAATGTATTCATCAGATGCGAGAGATTTGAAAGACCCGCGACAAGTGGAGCATCTCCAAGACCAAGCTCAAGTGGTTCTTGGCCAGCACTCGAGAAATCTGCACCCAACCTTGCCCGCACGATTCGGACGCCTGCTTTTGATGCTGCCTGCACTTCGAGGAGTGAGTTTGAAATTATCCATAACTTGAAGCATCAGTATCATAATCAATCCTCTCCAAAAAAAAAAGGTCCCGTCACACCGCCTGGAGGCAATTTTCTTCGCCCGCAGCATCGGGTCAACTCCGATGGAAAAGCTGCTCTGCGACTTGTTCAAAGGCTAACATGGCTCGGAAAACCCGCTGCTCCATTAGTAGGCATTTCCAGGATCTTTTCAAAAGCTCTCGGGTCTTTCAAAATCGCATGAGAGGGGTTTCCTCGGGAGAGCAATCGTATGCATGACCACAACCCATTGATGTCGGTGCTGTACAAACTTCGAAAATGATGCTTCACTTGAAGAGATTATTCCGGTTGAAACCAGCATGCGCAGCATATTTTGAGAACTTTTGAAAAGACCCGAGTCTTTTTTTGGATTCCTTTAACAAGCGAAAGATTCTCCACTCTGAAAAAAAAGCAGTGCTCGAATGACAATATGAAAGAAATGGTTGCTGCATCACGTTCATAGCAAAGTCGGGTTTCACGCGTATATGTAGTACAGTACGTTTTCAAAATGCTGCTTGATTATTGGGAAGAATTGGATGCTGTACCAATGAATGACTCGAAGAAGAGCTTTAATTCAAGTGTCGGGTTCGCCAAAATTAGAACCGTGCAATTCGATTGCAAATCAACCCAAGAACTGAACAGCTATAAATAAAGCTAAAAAAACACAGGGTCATGCATACACGGTAGAGGTCAATAATCGAGTTCCAGGATCCGAGGAACTGATTTTGGTTCGCGCCGATTACACAACGACAGAGGCAAAGCATTAAAATTGTTCATTATTCACGCTTTGCAAGGGGTAATCATACCAAAATGGAAAACAGCTTTATGTTGGATGTGTTCAGAATTCATTCAAGTGAGGGATTGATTGAGAAACCGATCTCAAGTCACGCAATCTTGTTCAGAATTTTTTGGAGTCCTACGCGTTTATTTTTCCCCATTTTCCCCCAGCTTGTTTCTTCGAGTGACACTCATTTGCGCAAATCTTATCTCAAAATCTGTTGTCGATCGTGTCAAATTGACGCTCCCTTGATTCCTTCGATTTGACTTTGCACGGAAAGCGCTTGATTTGGTTTTGGAAGCTCTTGTCACCTGCGTCATCATGAATAAATATCGACATGTGACTCGAACATGTTGTTTTAAAGCATGGAATTTATATAAAATCACGTACCTACACAACGAGGTTCAAAGGTGAAGTACGATCATCGTCTAAACTTACGAAGTCCTTAGAATTTATAATCAATCGCTTGCAATAATTTTCCCGAGGCACCAAAGACGAAGGATAATGTCGGATTTCTAAGAAATGACTGACATCGTTTGGGAATAATTTCTGAGGTCCTCTTTAATTCTCATACGATCTCACACCGCGCGGAATTCAAGCAAGAACGTGCAAATCCGTGAGCATATTTTGCAGCGCGTCACCGAGCTGATCGTCGTAGGATCTGGAAAGCACGACGGCTCCCTGGCCAAGGAGCTGCACGGCGGCCCAGAGAACCTGGGCCAGGAGCGGCGAGTCCTGGCGGGCGTTGGCCATCATGTTGGCGATGTACGCGAACCCATTCACAGCAGCCTGGGCCAGTCTCATAATCAACCCGAGGATCTGGGTAATGTCAGCAATTGAGCCAAAAACCTCGTCCAGCTGGCGGCTCTCCCGTTTTCCGGCTCTGCACAAACAATCAGAATACAAAACTAGAAAATGAATTGTTTTCTTCAGTAACGGGGTTTTCGAAAAGTTTTACACGTGCCATTATACAGTACGAGGGTGTACAGTATAAGGCATAATACTGATAGTAATCTGTGCGCATCAGGCGTTCAGAAAACAGGAAGAAGTTCTCATGCTTTGAAAGCGGAAAAAACCAAAGCCAAATAAGTGAAAAGCCGTGATTTGAAGATCAACATTTTTCGAGACGTCATACAAGTTTATCACGCAGCGGAGCAGAGCTTTTCAAATTTTCTTGGATTACGCAGTTTTGAAGTATGCCAATATTTCTTCCGTTGCTGATGTCAAAAATAAGTTTTTGCGTGTCACCTGCTTGTTCGTCATGTTTTAATATCGTAAAGCTGACCGTGAAGCCATTTCATAGATTATTTCATTTATTAAACCCTTGCGTGGTTGTTGGATATGTATCTTTAAGTCGAATCGCAACAAATATGAGAGAATCTGGAAATTCCCTCAGATCTGCTGTATACATTGGGTAACCATGCATTATCATCTTGAATAAACTACACTCACCGAACTCGCTCCATTTCTTGAACAAATTTTCCAACTTTCAAGGCATCTTGGTTAGCCCTATTCCTGTAGTGGAACTGTTTCTCCGTCGACGACACAAGTGACAAGGCGCACGCCACGACACCCTTGAATGGACATGAACCCAGTTAGTTTTTAGTAAGGTTGAAAAACCCCAGCGCGTTAGGATGGTTTTACTTGAGACACTCACCACCAAAAGCGCAAAACGAGCTGCTCGAAACATGACTTCACTGCGACGACGATGTGAATAATTGATTCCGTCAACGAAAAAGTTGTCACAAAAGGCCTTGCGTGATACTCGACAGAACGAATGGAACTGAATCCTCCTGCTGTCAACACACGAATCGTCTCGTCGCAAAGCATTCCGATTCGTTGAGCATTCCTTATATTTTTTCTTGATGATTTACTAAGTCTCGCCCCAGTGAGTTCCACCCCTCGACGTTGTCACAGCGAATTTTTTGAACCGACGTCAAATCGTTACGGCCTTCGACAGCAAAAAACGTTTTTTTTTGTGTTTCGCTCCGCCTTCGTGCGTGTTTTCCAGTCGCACTACCAAGAAACCGCTCGCGTTTTACACTCTCAATAATTTAGCGCTTACAAGAAAAATAAGTTGTGCACATGGTCATGATAACATAAACGAGTACTTCTGTTGCAAAGTTTTCCGCGCAACCTCAACCTGCTTTAAATGCCAGGTGCGCTGCACGCCATCAGAACATAGCTGAAGTAGGAAAAGATTGCGTTCATCGCAATGCCCACTTAAAATCCACGCAAGGCTGGACTGAATCGACGAAGCATTTTTATATTATTATTCTGCTCTTGTGTGCATTAATGATGTCTGGAATACCATTAAGGCGCGAGTTTCTTGTTCCTTATAGTGTCTTAAAACAGAAATCTGAGCATGCCAAAAAATAGCCTCAATTACGATCATTTTGCTGAGCACCTGATCGAGGCGGTTTTTTCTCACGTACAGGATGCGCACACCGTGAAAATATTCCAGTGTACACTATACAGTCAAATTTTTCAAATTCAAGTACTGTATATAATGGCGGACACGGGGTTTGAAGACAGCGAATCCAGTTCTGTGACATTCTGTCAAGCAAATGCTTCTTTTCATATTGTTTGCCCGAAGTTTAAATGTAGTTACCTAACATTCATCAATCATCTTTATAACCCGATTCAATTTCCAACTCTTGCGCAAGAGAGACGGCTTGTGAGTGACATTTGGAACTGCATTAATGCCTGCTCATGTACAGAAGAAAAATCGGAAATCAATTCTAATGTGACCATTAGACGCCAATATAGGCACTCACATTATTCCTTTCTCAGAATTACACTTTTGTAGAACCAAATAGCAACCCAGTTTTAATAATGCCTTGGGAACGAATGGGCAGGAAAATTATTAGCCAAGATTAATAGACGATTCTCAAAAATGGAGCTCACAATTGACTCATTATAGAATACTGAATGTAATTTTTAAAATTACTGAATACTTTCGTAATTTATTATTGCAAGGAAAACAACTCGACAGAAATGAACATTTATGCGAAACAGGAGAAAAATATTTGCGAAAAATATCCTGTTGGTTTAGATGGTTTTGAACGGGCAACCAAATTGAATTTATTGTGCAAATTCTATAAACCCCAGGAAGATCAAGCTGAAATGTCGAGGCAACTGATGGAGAATTTTCACCGAAATCGGGGAACAATTGGAAAATCTTCTGTGATAGCTCTCAAAAATTGGATATTTTCATAAACGACGAGGCGAGGTTCGCAGTTCTCAAGGATTGATTGTCCAGACAAGAATTGTCCGCCACGAGGAATCGGTTTGAATGAAGACATTTTTTTTATTTTTTAGACGCGACGAATGAAGGTCGGCAACGGATTTGGTCTAATGATCAGAGGCGTATATTTTTCCCATCATTCCGCGCGGAGGCCAAAAAAAAAGAACTCGGGCGGCTAGGAAAAAGTTCAGGACTAGAAAAATAAGTACAATAAATACAGCGAGCCCACGAGACTCGCCCAAAAAGCTCCGGAGGAACAAAAACTACCGTTGATGGACAGCGAGCGTGATGAAAGACTGAGAGCCGGCCAAGGAAGCGTCACCAGTTGCAGACGGATGGGCCATCACTGACCTACTTTCCGTGGTAGGCGGGCTCCTCGTAGCCGTAAGGCTCTTCGTAGGCAGGCTTGTAGGCCGGCTCCTCGTAGGCGGGCTTGGCCTGGTGGTAGGAGGACGCCTTGTAGTCGTACGAGGCGGGTTGGTGGTAGGCAGCGGGGGTCTCGTACTGGGGCTTGTACTCGGGCTCGTAGGCGGGCTGCTCGTAGGCGGGTGCCTTGTAGGCCGGGGTCTTGTAGGAGGAAGGCTTGTAGCCCTTGGGCTCGTAGGTCTTGTACTCAGTCGGCTTGTACTCGGGCTCCTTGTAGGAGTGGGCCTTGTACGAGGAGGCCTTGTAGGTAGGTTCCTTGTAAGACGGCTCCTTGTGGGAGTGTCCCTTGTAGGATGGCTCCTTGTAAGAGGGCTCCTTGTGGGTGTACTTGGGGGTCTCGTAGCTGCTGTAGGGCTCTGGCTTGTAGGCCGGCTCTTGGTAGCCACTGTAGGACGGTTCCTTGTATGAGGAGTACTTGGGCTGTTCGTAGCCGTACTTGGGCTGTTCGTAACCGTGTTTCGGCTGCTCGTAACCGTGTTTCGGCTGCTCGTAACCGTGCGTCTGTTTGTACTCAGGCTCCTTGTACTCTTCGTACGAGGGCTGGTAACCGTACGTGTCGTGGCCTGTATGGAAATCAACCAGATTTTGTTTCCCCACAATTGATGAAAAATGGTTTCAGATTGTGCAAAAAAAATCGAATTTTACGAAACAGTCGGAAAATTATTGCTCTACTACATTCGAGAGAAACGTTTTCGGTGATTTTGATTTTCATAAATTCTGCGATGGATGGCAGTGCAATGTTAAATGTAAATATGAACCGAAAAAAGGCGAAATTTTTTTTAGTGTTCATGCATCGCTTTTCATTGAAGAAAACGATCAATAAGGAGATGATAACGCACAACGAATATACAGATGAGAAACTGCCACTGTCAACTTGCACACTTTTCCTTCTCATATGTAGTGGTCATTTAATCCTTAACGTTTGAGAATGATAATCTTGGAATCGTGGAATACTGAGTCAAATCATTTTTAGTGGAAAGCGAAATGTTTGATGCTAAAATAGGCATCTTCTCAAATGAATTTCCATGAATTTTTTTCCAGGGAATATAGCCATTTTAGCGCTTGAAAAGTTACGAAATACGACCCTTTCTTCACTCAAGAAAAATGTGAGACGAACTGACCGTGAGATGACCCATGAGCATGATGGCCGTGGTGGCCATGACCGTCACCGTAGACAACGGCGAGGACTGCTGCCAAAATGAACACCTGAAAAACAAAACCCACTTCTAGATATTCTGTGTTTTTTTCGAGTTTCTCACGGTTTTAATCGTGACAGAAGTTGCTAACGGAAATAATCTGCTGTTCTCTACTCTGAATGAAATTCAAAGATCACATTCTGCATGCGTCAGTGGATAAACCTGCGAAGAACGATTGCTGAACAATCTAGATTTTTCTTAAGGAAGGACCTTTAGATCCGATTAAAGTCGAATGAAGACGATTGACGGTTTTGTCCACAATGGATTAAAAGTTGCACTCGACATCAAGTTTTCTTCTATGCGCATTTAATAAATTTTAGAAGGCTTGGGAGAAATCCACGACATTAAAATTCGGAGTCGATTTTGCAGCTGCTGAGTCACTCGCACTTCGCAGGTTCTTTGCGACACACACTTGTGAACTAGACGTGAATGAATCTCACCGTCTTCATGTCGATTTTTCGCTTGTTTTCAAACGAGCTGAATAAATAAATAGGCAAGGGTTGCTTTTTTTTCTCAGGAGGGGAAGTTGCTCGGCTTCGGACTTGATCCGTTCTGATGGCGTCTCCAAACCCGCCGTGGGTTTTTATAGGCGGGCTCCGCGGATTACACCACTCGGTTCTGCCCCCCGGGTGCCCTCAGGGGGTTAGGACACGAAACGCTCGGCAACCTGTAGACGTCGACGAAATGGCCAGAACACCATTTGCGTTGGTTCTAGGAACCCGGAGGCCGTCCACTGGATTGAGCCGCTAGGAACGTTTTAGTGGCCCGGGAGACGGTCACTTCCTTCACGGAGATGCCAACGCCTCGAGTGGACGTCATGCGTGCCAAAGGCAACTTTCCCTCGGGGATCAGTTAAGGATAGTACAGCATATTGCGCGTTAATCACGCCATCACCAATGAACGCTGCAAGTGCCGAAGGACGCCCAAATGCTAAACGAAGACGTTTCTGTGCAATTTTAAAAAATATGATGGGCTCTCGGCCGAAAGAAACATCATTCACAGATGAAAAGAAGATTCGCTCGGACTTTGGCCCACCTGCTAGCAAGCACTGATCCAGCAAACAAACGCTAACAATGGTCAATTTTCCACCTTAGAAAATATCGTGCTTTATCCTGTGCGTGAAAAATTTTCGCAAACAGTATTATATAACAGCCGGAATTATATAACAGGAACACATTTTTCCTGTGACTGGATCCTGTTCTGGTGACGTAATATAGAGGTTAAAATCACTTTTAAAAATGATTTGTGCATAAACGTGCTTTCCACTCGATGATTTGCATTTTATTTTTGAACGGGTGTGTCTGGAAAGTTCCTCGATTCGCTTTTCAAGCATTGCAGTACCGCATGCATCCCCATTTCAGATGTGTTTTGAAACATTTTCCACCAAATGAACTAGTTTATATAATTTTTGTTTCTTTCGTTGAAACGCATTCGAATAATTTTTTATATTTTTTTACAGAAATGTTCTTCGATGTTTGGCTCAACTACTGTAGTTCGAATTTTCAATTTTCATGGAAGCCGTCAAGGTTTTGGAACCAATTAAACTCATTCATATCCAGCACAAAAAAGTGATTTTTCTTAAAAAAAAAAAAGAAAGAAAAAAGATTCAGCTAACACTTAACACTTTTCAGGAAAAATTAAGTTCGTTGTAGCCGAAAGTGAATGCATTGGGTTTTTGAAATGACATGGCTAGTGATTGCTGCTGTATCTCAAGTTTCGCAAGAATACTTTCGTTCAATCAGCATCCATGAAAATACATGCTGGAATTTCGAGAAAACGTCCGCGGAAGGCATGACTACGACATAAAAATGCTGGATAGATAGTTCTTTATGACTGCTTCTGGTGAAATTCGAATTGCTGTAGAGTGGGATCAGCATTTAAAGTTCCACAAAAGATTAATTACATCCTTGATGGGAAGAAATCGCGATGCCTCAAAAAAAAATTAATACTTATTAGTTCACTCGGAGCCTTTCCGTAATTTCGTGGCAAATGCTGACGTTTTTTCTTCAGCATAAAAAAAAGGGAACACTAGGCAAGCAATTAACTGTATAATCTGATGCTTTCAGTACTCTCATGTAGATTATTGCCAGGAAAATCGTAATCAAACAATTTATAAGACCAACTTTTCCGACCGGGAAATATTATATACGGTAATTGCTTTCAGTTTATTGATGGCAGCGTTAATGTTATTTTCTATCTTAGTTTCCGCGAAAGTTCCTCGTACATTTTGGAAAGCATCAAGCTGAAAAACTGAAAAAATTGCATTATTGTCTCATTGATTCGGGGATCAAGCATTTCCCAGGGCACGGTCCTTCACTGAAGCAAGATCATTTTTAATTATTGATCTGCCAAATTCACAGATTAGAACTTGAGAGTTCGGGAAAAATTGATGCGTAGACATTGCGCACGTTTGCGTATCTGAGAATAAAATTTGCAGGAGCAAAAAGCAACTCTCGAAAATGTGTTCTTGGTGTGAAGGATGTTCCTCTGCTAAGACATTCGATTTATGCTGCAGATTTTACTTCAAAGATAGCTCAACTTTTTAAAACTACTGTAATCATAGAACTGTGTAAAAAACACAAACCTTCTTTTTAATTAGGAAGATTTCTCTCAAGAACTGAATTTTCTCTGAGGATGCAAAGAACATCAGTCAGCTTTGATTCAAGAAGAGGACACAGCAGATTTGAAAATTGCAGAAATTCAAAGTCCCTTGTGCTAATCCTATAAAACGCCACCACAGTTAAATAGCTGCCAAAACCGTGCTGCAGAGACATAATTGGCAGTTTGATTGTTTAAATCTCAACTTCCTCTCTTATTTGTTATAATGAACGTTATGGACACCAGAGCCCTCTTTCAACTTTAACGACCCGAAATATATACATTTTTAAATATACTGTATCTGTGTACTGCCTGCCGAATGCATCACGTACCCCTGATGGCTTAAGATTCCCTGCGGCAGTGGTCTAATTATTTGCATATCGATTTTGCACGTGGGACAAATCAACCCTGAAAGTGCGTAATGATCATTCCTGAGCCACGTTCGATGCTTCATGGCGATGCGTTTCATTCCCCGGATAACGGCCGAACGAGTATGTTAAATGATGTCGTGCCAGTTTCGCAAGACCCTTCGTGAATGGGCCCGGTCCAGTACGAGCCCGGTGGTTAGTTGTGATAAATCCGTTGCCGCCGTAGGCCCGCACGTCATCGCGACGTTTGCGTCACACGGGCCAAGAAATTATCCCCGGCGCTTTTTAAACGGCTTTTCGTGATTCAAGGGACGCCCGAAAAGCGAACGATCGGGCGCCCTTGACGTCTGCGACTGCGCCTCGATTCGGATTTCGTCACTGAACAGTGCGCACCGGAAAGGCAGTCGGATTATCTAACTTCCGGGTGCGGGAAGAATCACCTCGTGCCCCCTCGCTCCGGGTGAACGACTCAGCGGGACGGAAGGTTCTCGCCAGCTATACCTTCTGCTCCGAAGGACCTGCTATACTCCAAACAGCTCCTTCCTGCGCAGGTTCCCCAAACCATGGTCTCTTAGGGTCGGTGGAACTTCCGGGTTCCGCGAGGATAATTCCATCCGCGTTCATTTCACCGATTCTTTTCAAATTTGGAGTGAGTGTCGAGCGGACAGTTGAACACGCGGAAAGAAAACAAGGAAATGCGAACAGTACACGCACTTGTCTGCAAATGACAGTTTATCTGTGACAGATAACGATGCAGTTTGTTCAAGTTAAAAGTTGTTTTGAATTCTGCAATTCACCTTATGAATTTGTTCCATTTTTAGAGCATTTTAATTGCTCATAGTTGAAATTGCAGTTAAACCACAATTTAGTGCCACTGTTTGTCCCAGGACATTTTGTGGCCCTAAGCAAGGGTGGCACTAAATCAAGGGTATCGTATATGAGAGAGGTTCAGTTCAGTGTTTTATTATTAAAAAAATTAGCTGGTTTAAAGAATTTTTAGCGCAGTCAGGGTGTTTTATAAGAGAAAAGGCCAAAATAAATCATCTCGAAGGTGCTTAAAATTTTTTATTTCAAAATATGCATCAAGGCAAGGTGTATTAGATTTTTAAAAATTTGATGTCTAGTAAAATATCACAGCTGTTTCTCAAGAAGTTGTGTGGATTTGAGTTAGTTGCAAATAAAGTGCGAACATGAGGGGATCACCAAGGCTTCCACAAAAGCTACCACTGTTTCAGATTTTCATTCGCATCATGCAACAAAAAAATTTTTCAGCAATTTAAATTTAAAAAATAGATTCTTCACAAATATTCTGAATTTTACGTGAGCATGGAGATGCAAGGCTCAGTTGAAAATCATTTAATCCAATGATAGCCTTGATTATTTCAATTCTGCCCAACATGGCAAACATTTTTTTTATGGCAGTAAGTGAGTATATAGGCACTAAATTTGGGTTTCCCTTGAGAACATAATGGAGGGAGATTTGTACCAGGGAAATTTGTGGCCTTATGTGAGGGTGGCACTAAATCAGGGGGCACTAAATCAAGGGTTGACTGTACAGTACTGTACAATATTTGAAGAATTTATGAGCTTGCACGCCATAATTCGTGATTTTCTCTGGCATTCTTTTCCTTCATACTCGCCGTCTTGGGACGAAATCGCTTTTTAAATGAAAAGTTGCCGTCAAATTTGGAGGGACCAGCAAAAAATTCGATTAGAGAGGTTTTGAGTCTGGGAGGTTTCGGAAACTAGTGCTGATAATTTTTGGGACTCAAAAAATTTTGAGTGAGGGAGGTTTTAACTTCTATGAGTCTGTGAGTATAATTGAGTCATGAACCATTTTGAGGCTCTTCAGAAACTTCCAGCCGGTTTCCGTCACCTAGCCTCAATTGAATTACGGCGTGCATTCAAACGAACCTTTCTCTATATACGAAATGAAAACTTTTAATCAAGCCGATTTAGTTGGAAATAATGTACTTGACTGCGTATCAATAAGTCCCGACGACACAGACACGAAACATGACCAGTGTCGTGGGATCAGCTGTGTTTCGCAATGACTAAAAGTTCCCATCGCGATTCGGACTGCGGGGAGTTCGAGACACGGTGCAGGAACCATGGTTTCATAATGAAGGAAATCCTCGTGAATCAAATGTTGGCAATCGCTCAGTAGAAAATGATGCAGGCGAGGTTCGGTTGGCGGACCTGGTCTCTGACAACTCGGCGCTATCAGCAGGGATCAAAGTTGACCTATGTTGCTCGCTCGCGTTGGCGAAGGCCACGATTCTCGTGAGACCCACCGAGAGCGCAAATGCCGTGATGGGGATATTTCCCCCCCCCCCTCCTATATACCCAGCGCATCGTCTCCTCGTCCTTCGGAGAAATCATTTTATTTTCCCTTCAAGTTTGGCTTCTAGAAAACATTAATTAGAACATATTTGCGACGGAAAATATAGTAGTCAAGTCGAGTCAAGTCAGCCGCCCCGGAGAAATCTCATGGCCACCGGGGGAAATCGACAAGGGAGAAAATAGAGCTATACTTGGCCTGCTTCGGCGAAACGAGAAACCGTGGCCCAGTTTTTTTTAGCTTTTGCTCCGAGAAACTCCGGACGAAGGAAATTATGGGAGCGCAAACGCGGGCGGGGGAATGAGGATACTGACGCGAAAACCATGGGAAAGACCTTACATTTCCTGCACTAATTTCCTCCACTCTTCGTCCAATGCCACGCTCTTTGACTGATTAGTTCATTCTCTCCGAAGAAACCCTGTGACGTAACCTGTTGACTTGAATGACCGACTCGAATAACCAATTCCGCCTCACCATGGAAAAATAATGACCGAACGAGGAGGACGAGATTT